ACAAAAAAAAAAAAAAAAAAAAAAAAAAAAAAAAATTGGAGCAAATCAGTTGAAACATTTTCCCTGGAACGTAAGGGAGCGCCGGTGATCGTTTCCACAGATTCTCTTTCGCGGTAAATTTCCGCTGCAACGTAAAAAAAAATTTTTTCCTGTATTTTTTTCTTCCCGTCATTTGAAAAATGCGAATCACGTGTTAAAGCCACGATTCCAAGCGACGAGAGCAAAACTGACATTGCGTCTTCAGCTGAGCAAGGTCGTCATGCCTAAGTGAAACACATTTTGAGTCGAAATGCAGCCGAAGTTTTCACCGGATGCTCCGATCGACATGCAGCCAATCCGCGGCTGGCAAATAACGAGGCTTACCCGCGCGAACTTGTCCACGTGCGCCCCGGACACGCGGGGATGCCGCCTCCCTCTCTCCCAGACGGCGCGGATGGCCTCCCGGGAATACTCCGCGTGCCGATCCCTCAGCTCCTCCCGGCTGGCCCTCCAGGGTCCATCCAGGAATCGGATCATCCTGCTCTCGTATCGGTCGAGGGCGGAGACGACCGCGCGAGCGAGCGAGTCTTCCGCGTCCTTTTCCTGTCGTTCTCGGGCTCTCTTATACTTGTCGTATTTCTCGCGAAGCAGCTGTTGGGGAATGAAAGGAAATGTAAATCATTTCTCAGAGAAAAGTACGAAATGAGCCCGGACGACGAATAAAGCGAAAAAATGGTAGAGGACACCTCATACCATGCGTATCCGGCGCCATTTTTCATACCTCTCTGAATGCTAAACAGCAACTGTCTGCCATCCACGGTATACGAGAGGATGAGTATTCTTTCCCCAGAGCATGCTTCCCGATAATATGATCGAAAACTTGAGAAGCATCGTCGTGTCATTCGATGCAGCAGGAAAGTCGGGAAAGCTTTCTTTAGTCAGATCTCAATTTCTTGCAGTTAAGGATTCGCCTGGAGTTCATCAATCAGCTCTGGCATCTTCTACGCACAATGACGAAACGTCGAAAGCAGGGCCAAAACCCGTTCCCCCCCCCCCACCCATACACCCCTACACCCCCCACATCCCCATACCCCCACACTCCCCACACTCCCCACACCCCCCACATCCCCACACCCCCACATCCCCACATCCCACT